GGGTTTCTTCCTTAGTTCCATGTTGCGTGATATCCGTAAGGTAGTCGTCCACGTATGGCTGCATCCAATTGGAAGCCTTTCCTTTCAGGTACGTGCTTGCCATGAGGATCTTTTCCTGGTCGTTGGGTACTTCGTTGAACTCGCAGTACAAGTCGATGTTGGTGAGGAACGTTCGCAGTTCTTCTCGACTTCCGTCGTACTTCTCGGGTGACGCCATCTTGGGTTTCTTCGTAGTAGATGATCGTTCGTTGGGGGTGGCCATCAGCTGACTTGCAAGCTGATTGATCATGTTCTGCATCTCGAGCATCTGCCGAGACTGAACTTGGGCCTGTTGCCTAAGGTGTCTGAGCTCCGTGGCACTGGGAGTATCTTCTGTCTCCGAGTCGGATGCATCCAGCATCTCATTGTTTGCTGGTGCTGGTGCCGAGGGTCCCGGACCCTGGGCCGCGTTGTTCTGAGTGACTCTTGGGGCTGACATCTTCCTTAATCGGGCAACCTGGTTGTTATTCACGTCCACTGAATCCGATGGTGGTCAAAGTGTTACACGGGGTTAGGCTATACTTCTCTAGGCTCGGTCCGTACTAAGGCGAGGTAGACTAAAGCGGTAGTCCGTGAGGTTTGTCTGGCGATTCTGTGGAAAAGAGTTATCGTGGAATAACTGCAGGTAAAGACAATCCAATTCTATAAACGATAGAATAACTAGTTAACAATCTGTGTAAGAGATGAACTATTTGAGTTGACCACAATGAGTGTAATAATGAAATCCAACACATTCTTATACCCATTGCCTTAGGTCCTGTCCTCCCTGGCCTCCCATCCTAGAGGGAGGTTTGGGAGGACCGTGGCTTCCCTAGCCCCACTGGCCTCCCGGAGGCCTGGTCTTGGCGGGATGCCAATCCTGATCACGTGACCCCGAGCCCCGCGATCATCGTTGCGTTCTGACTTGGTCGTGGTTGGCCTTCAACCCCTTCACCCCATGTCAAGGAGAGAATCCTTTGTGTTACCTGTAACAATACTATGTCTTACGTGCTCTAGCTACCCTAGTATAAAGGCCTCTTAAAACGTTATCTATTTATTAAAGGTAATCTTCTGTGTGTGTAGGCTGTCTAATCTCTAAGACAGCTCTACACTCTTCTCTAATAGCTTGCTAACAAGAAAGACCTTCTTAATATAGAACACAAGAAAGTAGGCATAGAGAAGCTATAGAGCGCTATATTAGAATAACTTCTTGCGGCGTTTTTAACGTTCGCTTCTTAATAGAAGCTCTTCTAGTGCGTTAGCAATAGAGTGTATTACAATAAACTACAACTCCTGCGTAGCAGCTGTAGCTAGCTAGAAGGTGCAGTACTCTAAGTTAAATAATAGGCTATAGATGTGCTTATTACTATAGAGAGCCCGCTAGTTCTTAAAGCTAATAGTTATGTTGTTAAAAAAGCGGCTAGACAGCTGCGTAATTAGCTAGAGCGGCTGTCTAACAATAATAAGAAGGTTAAGAAAGAAGAACAGTATGTACTTATTCTCTAACGCAGCGGCTTAGAAGCTAGCCTTTCTACTTCTATAGTCTATAGTGTATCGCCTCTAGAGCATGTTAATAGCCTAGCTGCTATTAAAAGAGGTGCTCTTAGTGGCTGCGATAAAGTCCTGCGCTACTCTGTTGTTAGCTGCTATTCGCGCTTGTATAACACGCTAACACACCTCTAAACTTATAGTCTTCTTTAGCGTAGTCTATCTTCTAAGAGTACTACTCTACTACTACAACTACTAGTTCTTTATAGCTAAAGCTGCTCTTGCTGTAGTTGTCTCTTAGTCCGCCTAGCAACGCGTTACTATAGAGCCTATTATTGTCTCTAGAATTGTTATTAAGGCTATTGTTACTTTGTAGAGCGTTTGTCTGTTGCGTTACTATAGTAGCAGGCGGCGAACTTAGCTATAGATTAGAAAGTAGACTTAGGTTTATCTATTCCTTGTTAAAGGCTTTAAAATCTATAACAGAACCTGTACATATAATGTACTTTTATTACATAAGAAGGCAAAGCGATCCCCTAGTAGAATAGTTACTAGAGTTTTATGCTATCCGCCTGCCTCTAGAGGTAAGCTATAGCAGATATACATTAGGAATCCTACTATAGTACACAATACGTAGGCTCTATGTATACTAGCGCTAACAGTACTAACTATTAGCTAGAAGCTAGACTGTAGCGTTAGAACTAAAACAGCAGGGTTTGCGTTTCTTTCTAGTTGTTATCTCTAGGGTCTCGCTAAGGCTAACTTTCTCTAGTGTTCTAAGCTAGCAGGCGTGCGTAACAAAAGAGAGATAGACAGATTTAGAGCGTAGTAAGAATCTGTAGTTAGAGACGCAAAGTACACGTAGGCGCGTTACTAGCTAATAGCGCTCTTAGAATAGTATTATTTTTAAAGAGTGTTTAGCCTAGCTACAGTAATGTTAAGTAGCTCTTAGTTTTGTACTTCTATACGCAGAGATGCCCCTGCGTCTAACGTTACTACTAACCTGCGCTTAGGTAATAGAGTAGCGGTTAGCTCCTTAATAGATCTGTGCGTATCTAATCCTTTCTAAATCCTAGGCAGAAGCATACACTTCTGCACTGCCGCTAATAGCTGCTCTTCTATAGTAGCATAGTTACGCTCCCTCTCTACGCACTGCTCCTCTGCTAGAGAAAGAGTAGATAGTTATCTATCTTTGTAGTAGCGATCTAGCACGTCTAGACGTTGCTTAGCAATCTATTAAGCAATCGCTAGCTGCATAATTACAAGTAGCTATTTAGCTACAGTAGTAGACTAAAGCGCTAGATTGTTCGTAATTTTAGAGATCTAATAGATAAGATCCCACACTGTTTAGGTAATAGTAGGCAGACAAATTATGCAAGTGTTCTCTAGCATTAGGCTAGCAAGGTACTTATACTGTAGAGTTAGCTCTACAAAGCTAGTAATAAGAGATAGCACGTCTCTCTACACCTTATGCCTAAAGCGTATACTATAGGCGTCGCTGTTTGCGCCTAGATACTTGTAGAGGTAGTGCTCTAGCGTAGTACTAGTAAAGTTGTTTGCGTTTGTACGTACGTTGTTAAGAATTCTCTACTTAAGAACGCAAGACGTCTTGTTAGCCTTGTTGCTATACTTAGCTTATAGTGCGGGGATTAGGTTCTTCCACAGCGCTAGCTTGTTGTTATTATAGTCTATAACCTTTTCTAGTTCTCTGTTTACCTACTAGCTAACATAAGACATAATAATGCTTATAAGCTTTCCTTTCTGCTTAGTAGTTTTTAGAAGCGCCTAGATGTTAAGAAACTAGCGTGCTAGCTCTACAAGCATAGATTAGTAGAAGGTAAAGTACGTATTATCGCCTAGGTTAGGGAAGAAGTCCTGTTAACGCGTGTTAGAGGGATAGAGTTCTACCTTATACTTACACTTAACACTAGAGTAGAACAGTTCTTGTACAGCGTGTACCCTTCGCTCTTGTAGTAAGCTAGCTAGCTTATTCTACTTAGCTAGAGGAACATCTACGCTATACTAACCTTAGATTTCTAAGGTAGTTTCTATAACCTTATAGAGTGCAGAAAACTAATACTAGCTTGTTGCTTAGCGCAGGTAGACAGAGTACGTTGTAATATAGATAGTACTTACATTGTCTATCCTACAGCTTGCTATCTACTTAAATGTAGAGATATTAAACATTACCTGCCTAATAGAGGTATAGCACTATTAGGTAATTATTAGTCTCTAGCTAATATTTCTCTATAGTATAGCTAGCTGTTAGACAGGGAACTTTACACAACTGCTAAGCCTAAGGTACTCTAGTAGCTTCTGCTCTATAGACCTACTAGAACCTTAGAACAGCTAGCTATAGTAGAAGAACAGAGTGGCTAGCTCTGTCTATATCTAGCTATAGCTATTAGAAAGAAGAATCTCTTCTTAATTAGCCTAAAGCTAGATGCGCAAGTAGGGCGGAAGCGTGTCTATCTTTTAGATTAGCTTCTTAGCTTGCCTAGTACGTGCAGGGGCTAAAACCTTTGTTATAGATACTGCACACCTACTATTACTTCTCCTCTAGCAACTTATAAAATTAAAGATACTTCTTAAAAGCTTCTACTTAATAGTAGCTTATAATAAGCTCTACCTTCTCTCTAATAAGGCTCCCCTACGCTTTAAATAACAGCTACTTTAAATCCCCTTCCGCGCTCTTAGCTATAGTTGTAGTAGTCTGCGCTAGACCCTCCTCTTTTAGGTAGTCTAGCATCTACTACACGTGTGCCTTTAAACAAGCAACCTGCAACTAGTAGCTTGCGTCTTGCTAAAGAACGCCTACCTTGTTAAAAATCTAGTAGAGGCGACGCTTATAGGCTTAGTTAATAGGTCTATTTACTCTAATACTCTATTTAGAGGTAAGCGCGTTAATTAGAAATTAGGCTGTTACTAGTAGGTGCAGCGCAGCGCAATTATAGACGCAGTCTACCTCTCTTATCTCCTTTACAGCTGTATGTTGCCTCTTGCCTACTTCTGTTAAGACGTTTACGCCTTTCCGCTTTATCTCTTCTGCTAGAAGTAGAGAGTATACACAAAGTAGTGTCTGTAAAGACAAAGGTTAGGTAGAGAGAAGCTACAGAGTGCTAACGTAGTTATAGGTAGGGTTAACGTATGTAACTTCTAGCACAGATCTCTTTACCTCTAGGGGTAAGCACTGCCTAGCCTTGTTAGCCCTTGTTAGCTTGTCCCGCTAGAGGTAGCTTCTGTTCTTTGCCTCTAGAGGCAGTCTTTGTCTCTTGCCTCTAGAGGCAGCCTTTGTAGTCTCTTGCCTCTAGGAGCAGCCTTTATAGTCTCTTGCCCCTAGAGGTAGCCTTTGTTGTCTCTTGCCTCTAGGGGCAGCTACGCTTTTCGCCCCTAGAGGCAACCTAACCCTACTCTATCACCACCGTTTCGGCACATAGTATTACGTGTTATCTTACTACACCACAATATAGATAATATAACTACTATTATAACTATTAATAGTTGCTATTTAGTTCCTCTTCGTCTAGCTCTTCGTCTAGCTCTTCGTCTAGCTCTCCGTCTAGCTCTCCGTCTAGCTCTTCGTCCAGCTCTGGATACCTAACCCCAGGGGGTAACCCAGCTTTAGTATCGCGTCCAATTTCCTTGAGGATCTTTTCGTAAATATAACGATTGCGTCCACGCTGCGCATAGGAGAGGATGTCTCCCCAATGCTTTTCGTACTTGTTTGCATTGAAGCCAGACTTTCTACGCAGGAGCAGGAACGTCTCAAAATCCCCTGACTCGGCTGCTGCAAATACTGGCGGTGGGCGTTGTCCTTTTTTGGATTGGACAGACGCGCCTGCTCGTATCAAGATCTGGCAAGTTTCTTCATCGCCATTCTTGGCCGCAAGATAGAGCGCTGAACCTTCGTCAGAGCAGTGGTTGATGTCGACTTTGCTCTGGAAGAAACCTCGTTCCGCGTTGAGTTTTAAGAGAACTTGAACGGTCTCTGTCGCTCGTGCTTTTGAGGCTGCGATCAGGGGATTGACTCCCTTCTTATTCTGCTCGGTGATATCGCAACCACGCCGTACGAGCATCTCGATACCTTTTGCAGGTAGACTACTAGCACCTAAAATGATCGGCGTCGACCTGGAAAGGTCTGTGACCTTGACATCGGCGTTGTTTTCTAACAGAAGCTCGACTATATCGAGGTGTCCTTCAGTTGCAGCTGCAAGTAGCGGCTTCCCGCGATCTCCGTCAGCGTCGTTCACATCCCAACCATTGCTCAGTAGCACCTTGACGATTTCCTTATGATTGCCGGAAACGGCGGCACATAAAGCAGTGCCAAAGCACCCACATGATTGCGTCTTCTTGTTGCTACCTGGCAAGAGCAACTTTACGTTTTCAATGTTGCCCTCGAAACATGCGGCTTGTAGAGCAGTCCCGTGCACTTTGTCTAACATGTTAGGATCTGCCTTTGCATCCAGTAGCATGCGTAAGATCTCAGTCGATCCACTCGCCGCAGCTATTGGAAGTGCATAACTGCTATGGGGTCAGAAATAACATCTCTAAAGCTATGAGACCTTACTCACCGAAGTCCATCACTACGTACTCCTTTGTTTGGATCAGCCCCCATCTGCAAGAGCGACTTGACAGTCGCTGTCAGGTCGCTCTCAGTTGCAATAAAGAGAGCTTCCGCTAGAGTACTGGCTTCCAGCCGATCTTTTGGGAACAGGTCGAACAGTTCGTGTTGTCCGTAACGAGCAGCGTTGGTGACTGGAACCCTCAAATCCAGATCTTGCGCTTTACCCAGCAGAAGTCTTGCGTTTGCGATGTTGTCTCTTCGCATCAAGGCTTCTTCGAGACCTGCTTGTCTGTGTTTTTTGTTTGCCCCATGCGCTATGAGTAGCGAGATTGCTTCCCCATCATGCGCGACACATTGAAGTGGGAAGGGACCGCCCTCACCCTGGACATTCACATTACAACCTCTCTCCACAAGGATTCGTAAGATTTCGATATTACCGGACATACAGGCGGCCACAACAGCATTTCCGTAAGGAAAACCTGCTTTTGTCTCAAGAGACACGTTAAGAGACAACAAGTACGCAACCATCTCGGGGGTTCCCTTCGCCGCTGCAACAAACAATGCTACACCTTTCGGAGCATCGAGATTGGCTTCTTGGCTTACGAGATACTTCACAAGATCCAGTCGTCCTGAATGGATGGCGTCGTGAATCACTGTAAATCCATTTTCCATACCCGTGCTCGTAGCTCGGATATCAGCGCCGTGTTCAATCAAAATCTTAGCAGATTCCAGGTGGCCTTCTCTTACTGCCCAAGATAATGGCCGACGACCAAGTGAGTCTTGTGACTCCAATTGCTGTTTGAATGCCCTGGAATTGAGCAAATGCTCTAGGAGGGATGTATAGTTGAAGTGCGCCGCAAGATGAACGACCGTTAAACCTTCGACAGAGGGTAGGTTCCTGGCTAGCTCTGATAACCTTGGCCACCAAGGGACAAAGGCTGCTTCCTGATTGTGCCACCAGTTGTTTTCCAAATCGAAATCCTCAACAACATCGGTATTGACGGCTTTCATTGCGTGATTGATCCAGTAACTCGAGGGGTAAACAATGGAGGAACTCATTTCCATACCATGCTCATTCAAGAGAGGTCCAACGCGATATTGTTCCATTCCAAACGAGCGAACTTGTTCCATAAGGTAATTGAGGCAGCGCAAAGCGAGCACTCCGTGTTGAGTCTCTTCGCTGGACAGCCCAAGAACGGATGAAGACTCTCGCTGCAGGTACTCGCGGGCGGAAACATCGATGAACTCAACGCGTAATGAGCTCTTATTCTTTGGGTCTCTCTTGTACATGAGAAACGATCCGCATCTATCAATGATCTCCATTATCTCTGCTGTTCGACCGTGCAGTTCATCGGGCAGATTGGCTAGTACAGCGAGCTCCTCGGGCGTAGGATGCTGAACAACGATCATCATCGTTCGCAAGATCTCTTTCGTATATTCGATGGTATCGTGAGCAGTGTGTAGAACCTGAAACCTTTAGTCTTAATAGAAGCATAGACCTTTTGACTTACGCGCTTTTCGATCTGCCGATATAGCGGTGTTAAACCTTGCCTTAGACCCTCTGCAAAGCTTCGGACGTCGATAGGCGATGGCTTGACGCACTCTATCTCATTGCAAGCAAGATTCACCCAGGTCAAATTACCTTCCGCACGTCGAAGTAGCTCGGTGCGTAGCCAAAAGATGATGTCTCGCTTGTAACCTAGTGTCCATGCGAGTTGATGGACCCGCCGTGCAACCTCGGGCTTGAGCGAATCACGCAATCTTTCCGGGCTTCCAAGATCTTCGGAAGTGATGTGTTTTGCAAGCCTCATCGCGTGCTTGATATCAGGGCGTTCTGCCCCCCGGCCTATACATATCCATTTGACCTTTGCGTCTTTATCAATGCTTCCAGGCTGGCCATTCGTCGTAATTGACAAGGAGAACGCGTGCAACAATCTTCTACGATCATCTTCGTCGACCATGTGTATATTGTTGATCAAGATATCGACTTTTCCGATTGACCTGTCTCTTAGCATTGCTAGGAACGGCTGAATCAAGGTGTCTGCATTGTCAAAAGTGACACGACCTTTCGAAGAATTTTGATCCCAAGGTAGATGGAGTGCCAGCCTTCTGGTATGCGCGATCATCTGACGTATGAACGCTTTCAGGATGGACAGTGTATTATTCTTCTTCAGATCTGTGTCGTCGCAAAAGAAATAGCACAGCTGTCGATCGTTCTGGTCGCTAGGATTTCGATCTCGTATGGTCTTCATTTCTTGATGCAACGCGACTGCCGTCATTGTAGTGTCCATTCCTGAATGGAAATCTACCCAGAGGGCACCCTGTTTTTCATTGTTGAGGAAAGACGATATCTCGGGATTTTCTAAAACGAGTTTCGATGCCGCTTCGATAGCGTCTTCTCGATCATGCCCGATTGAGAAGATATCTTCGTCCGGATCGCGTTCCGTGAGGCTCAGTGCATTCATGATCTGATGGTACTTTTCGTCATCGAGATTCTCTGGAAGTACTAGTTCTCCGTGTTAACAAATGAAAATTTGGAATTGTACTGGGTACGTACTGTTCTGCCGACTTTTCAAAATTCTGGCACTTTTTCGTACCATGTCCTTAATCTCGTTACACACAGACTTCCAGTGTTTGTCAGTAGGCCCATCGAACTTGTTGAGTCCACTGTGGTCAAGATTCAACGCGGTTCTGGGTCGACCGCGTAGGGTGGCGACCTCATCAGGGGCTATCACTGTCTGTTGAACGTCAGTAAGGCTCACTCATCATCACGACTTACTATACCCCTATATTGGCGAAGTTCATGAAGCCTCGGAGATATTTGGCACCCAAGTCGGTCTTCTTCAATTCGACAAAGCAATGCGTCAATATACCCGAATCAACGACGATCTTCAAGAAGTCGTCGAGCAGCGACACCAGATGCTGATTACCGGCTTTCAAGACCTCGAGAAGAGAGTTGTATTCTGCTTTCTCTATTCCTTTTGTCGAAAAAGCCCGAGCTACAGTCGCAGCGTATGATTGAGCTTCCGAGCCTGTGAAAGGTGTTCCAAGAAAAACGCAACCTGTGATGGAGTCAAAGATATCGGCGAATTCCGCACCTCCCACTTTGGCCCATAAGATAGTCTGTTGCTTGGTTAGCTAGGTATTAACTAATTGGGACAGGACAGTAACCCTTTCGACCACAATACCTCCCAGTGAATGGCCAATGAAGATGATAGGCCTCTTGGGACAGTCCTACACTTCATGTTAACTATCGCACTCTAGCACGAAGACGATTATAGCGAACCATTCGTTCGTGCTTTAAAGCCCTGGCTAGGTTCTCCGCAACCTGGTGGAGGTATTGATCGACTGCGCCCTCACCCCACCAGTCGGACACATAGTTGAAAATCATGATTCTCGACTTGGGCAACTCGGCCTGAAGCATCATCTCGTCTTCTATGCAACTTGGCCCGTGTTTGAACGTTGGACGATTGGAAGGCTTTCCACTGCCCGGCTCTTTGAGATCAATATCGGTTCGCTTTCTCCAGGTATAGTCAGGATGAGCGCCAAGCCCTGGAACTGCGACAATGTCGACAATCTCATCGACCCCCATGGCATCACCTTTCAATATCCCCTTACGCGGGTCGGCATCAGAACTTCCTTCCTTTGAACGAGAAGACAGAGTGTCATAAACAACTCTCAGCCCTTGTACAAGGTCCGCCTGACCCCGTTTCTTCTTCTCCTTGGGGGCGTTAGCAATTGAGTTGTCTCCTTCCGGCATGTTGTTTGGCGTTTGGCTAGAACTTGTGTTAATAAGACTAGATTGCTTTGTTGCGTAAGCAAATGCAGATATGGTTCTAGTTCGTGAAGTAAAGTCGTTGGTTATGGATGACAATACGAGTTTATAACTTTTGAGGATCTGTGGTGCTGAAAGCTGTGCCAACGCGATGGATCAGCCGCAAAAGCGCCCTAGGTAGCAACTAGTAGTACGCTAGTCCGCAGGCTGGGCCCAGACGCTTCGCGATTAACGTGGCACAAGCGATCGAGGTTCGGAGCGAATCTCCCGAAGGTAGAAGACGTGCGGCTGAGATAAGGCCAAGACATATCAGCGTGAGCTGGATTAATCTCATGCATGATGAGGAGCTTGTGAATTATCCACTCGTACATGCAGTCTACTATTCGCTGCTCGACGTGGCTCTATCGTGCGCTGAACAGCGTACTACGTAGGCTTCTGAGGCTGATGACTACCATCGGACCTCACGCATCACGTTATGATGTACCTTGAAACGACCTGTTCTTTCATTCTGCATCTAATTTGTCTATCTTGACCAAGCTAGGATTCTACAGTGAGCACCATTATACTTGGCTGAACCGTGAATTACAGACTCCGCTCATCAAACACCTTTGTTTGTACTCGACCTCGACTCAGCATTGCGGTTCCTGCGCAGAGTGTACAGGGCGTTGTCCACAAGCTTGTATAGCATTATTGCCGCAGTCAACGTAAGAACAGTAAGCGGCGCCACGATTGAAAAGATCGTGAACCCTACCGCGGCCCTTGTGAACTCTCCACTATCCTTCAAACGATCTGTTCCAAGTCCAACTTGCATTGCAGTAAGTGCGAGGGCCATGTATACTGTCGAGATAGTAAGCCCAGCGATGTTGCGCTCAAGGAACGATCTATAGTCTTGATATCGATTGAAAAAGCCTCTCTGCAGTTGCCCGTCTTCGCGCTTGCTACAAAAGCACAGCCGAAATATCCAGTTGAGTCGCTCTAGACGAAGCTCTCCATAACACCACCGATCGTATATTTTCTTCGTCTTGCCAGGTTTCCCGATTTCGAAGCAAGTTTGAAAAGGCTCACGCGCAATTGTGCGGCTGATTTGGCTCCACCGCTCCCAGTTGAGGTTCGTCGACACAAGCCCTAGCTCGTGGGCGATCTTGAGGTCGCTATTGCGTCGAACGAGCGATACGTAAGTTCTCAGAAAACCAAGAGCATTTCGGCGCAATTGCGCATCAGCTTCCAGGTATGTATCCCAGGTGTGTCCGAGCAGAAACTCAGGACATGGTTTGATAAATATCATGGCACCTCGCCATGTAAGATGAAGATGGCAGCTCTCCACTACGACTATTTCGCGACGGAGAGCCTTCTGCAGATGTAAAGGACGACAACACCCGCGCTGCCCTGCAAACCACAGGTGCTTTTCCATCTTGTTGACTTTGCTAACATCAAGCTCGTATTCAAAATAAGATCGAAGCTGTTGTTTATTTCCGGAGTCCAGAACAGTTATATCTTCACTGCTTTTGAAGATGGGCGGAAAAGTGACCTCTTTCGACATCCCTGAGCTTTTTGTCCGACTGAAGGGCCGCCGCAGACGTGTTCGAGGTGGTTGAGAAGTCTTGGACGAGATTGAACGAGCCAGCGAAGGATGGTATGTTTGTGAAAGAAGGTACTTTATTAATAGAAATGGTGCTCTTCAACGTTGTGGTGAACTGAACCCCCATCAATCATGAGCATCCACTGCGTCGGTCTTGCAGCACTAACGAGGCTTGCCGCTAAACATGAAGGGCTGGAAGGTCTCGCCTCCCGTCGCAATCTAATTTCAACCTTATCTGCACGGCTGGTTAACCGATCTCTTAGTTTGGGGCTACCTGTTCCAGGTGCCGAGAGGCCATACGGCGGTTTAGCCCATTCCATTCTACTCATGCATGTATATAGACTAGTCAACTACACTAGCGTGCTCTGGTGCTAACCGTATATCGCTGAACATCCAAACCAGCAATGAAGTGATCACAGACACATCATTAATATAGCGCAAGATAGCCCCCTAGGGCTATGGATGAACTGAAGCAATAAACATTTGCAGCTTTCATTGCCGAGGACACGCGTAGAATTCCAGTCCTATGAACACGCTACATACAATCATGGTCCGTTCAGCTGCTCCGCAATGGAACGTGCCTAGACCGCGCCACGTGCCTACGTCCCATGCAGCCGGAAAAACAACGCGATTCGACAAAACCTTAATCTCGACTAGATAAGCGAGCGATAGGGAGAACAACAAGATTACGATTGCATCTTCTCTTCATTGACACGACAAGAGTAGGAAAACAATTAGCTAATAAAACAAAAACGGCAATTCTCCATGAGCATGCGCACTGGTATGATGAAATCTGTGGTTCCCTAAAAGCAGTGTTTTGCAAGTTCACGTTGTTCTTCCGGCCGCGTCCGTCCCCGCGTCCGCCCCCGCGTGCGGCTCCACCTCAGCTGGCAAATAGCGCCGATCCGCTGCGCCTACCAAAAACTAATCATCTTAGACTGAGTCTAAGCAATCAATCAGCTACACAAAACTCAGCAAGGCGTCCCACGTGGAGGAAGTCCGCAAGCCTACAACACACGTACCTACCTAGGTAGTTAGTGCCTCACTCAGCTGGACATACAATCTCCACAAGCCTAGTAAAAACAGGTAACTCATCATCTCCCATCATACAGACTCTCATTGGCTAACCATCGATACAGTAGGCGTTTAATGAACGCATCATACTTACCTTAATGCCTAGCGCCTTCAACAAGAATGTTCATCTCCGCACATCTTCGGCTGCAGACCCTCCAAAATCTCAGTCTCAGCGAAGAGCGTTCCCCCCTGTTGTATCGCTTTCCCATGCCTTTATGACTCTTCTTGGGCTGCTGTTCGCCGGCTTCACTGCTCCGATTGCTCTTACTTCTGAGTGACAAAGTAGCGGACATAGCGCCGCTTGCAAAAGGTTTCTATCCTGACGGGCTTACAGAGTTGCGTTGCATGAACTTTATACGATGCTGCAACTGCAGACGACCAGCGCGTAAGCTTTAAGCTATGCTGCCGATGCATATGTTTCCGCATTTATAAGTAACTCGTAGCGATGTAGCGGCACGCGTTGCTAGTACCTAGGTACTACTACTATCCCTCTGCCCAACTCAACGGCAGAGAAACGCGTCTTTTGCTACGCCTAGCTCGGCTATCAACATACTTTATGGCTTAAGTAGCGACGCATCCTTTGGCGCCTTTAGTAGGAGGCCTTTATACGTCGCGAGCAGCTTTTTCGTACTTGCGATAGGGAGCCCGCACCTAGATAGGGCAAATCTTTACACGGACTAGTGAGCACACGCCGTACACACCTACGTAGTAGTAGCGGAAGGTCTAAAGGCAGAAATAAGCCGTGATGTTGCAAGTGATATAGCACAAAAGCTCGCACCTTCAGCAATGCTATGATTGATAATCGTCAAGCGCTATTGTTCGTATGTGAAGTGTCACATGTACCGACCAGTTACTTTAATCCCTTTTACTCCAAGTACTCCGGAGAACGACTTCTCTTTTCGACGATAACTTCGTACAACTCAAGTTGTTATTTTGTGCAAAGCTACAGTTCATTGCCTATGCATTCGCGGGTGATGAACGTGCTGTCGTTTCACGTCACTCCGTAGCCTGGTCAAGTCGAACCTGAGAAACGCCGCCACCACACCACCCGAACTCCCCGGATTTGCCGCCTGCGTAGCCGTCGTACTGTCCTTACTCCCACCAAACGATATCAAGTTCTGTACGCCCTTTGTATTAACATTATAAAGCCTCACCGCGCTTCCAGGCTTCCAGGCTTCCAGGCTTCCAGTCTTCCAAATCCACAATGTTGACCTGGCAGATACCATCAAGACCCAAACAAGCCGCATACCCGGGTCCGTTGGAAAAGACCCAAAATCCCATGCCATATAGCGCAAGGGAACGCGTGTCTGGGCCAGGGATACGGACAGACCACGACATGTAGCACTGGCTGATATTGCCTGAACAGCCCTCGAAAGTGGGATCGTACCAGGTAGCATTGGGTGTCCAGGGATACGGCGCCTGGGGCATAGGCTGCTAGTATGGTGTTTCGACCTGCATCAAGGAGGCCATGACGTTCTGCGCATTGTGCAATGTGTAGCCGTACAGCGTATGGTGCTCGCTACTCGTGCCGACAAGCCAAGTAGCCGTGGTGGCTTCAACGAACATGCCTCTTCCCGTGCCGACGGATGTAGGATTCGCGCCGTCCAGGTCGTGATCAGCGGTCCAGAGCCAGCTGTTCTCAATGTAAGCCGAACTTGTCTTTCTAAGGTGCATGACTAGGAACGCAGCTTTGCACGGTTGCGTCTCCGACTCGCATGCCGTTTCGGTGCGCGAATCGGCTGCTCCGACAATACGGTAATGCGTGTTGTGGAAGGACATGTCGCCTTGAATGCTGCCTCTCATGTTCACTTCGACAAGAATGGCGCCGGGTAAGACGTCGGAAACGGTAAAGAGCATGTCGCTGAGTTCAGCCAGTCCTACCTCGTCTGGTTTGCCGATCTGTATCATAGGTTGGGGATTGGCCTCGTCGCTGACATTGTTGCCCGCAGCGCTGATGACAGACCACGCTTCGCCGACAACTCTACTGCCGGGCGGGTCGTAGATGGTGTCTGTCACGCTGTAGACACCGTGCGGGAAGTAGGTGATCTTGCAGTCTGCGTTGTTTTTGAGTGCAGCGTTGATAGCGGCTGTGTTGTCCGTCTGTCCGTCACCTGTTTCTAATTAAACAAACTAACAACCACTTATTAGAGTTGAGAAGAGTACCTTTAGCGCCAGCATCCTTTACGGAAGCGAAGGCGGACGCAGGGTACTCTGTGTACTGCGGCTGTGGCTTAGTGAAGTAGCGTCCGGAAGCATCAGCCAAACTACCACGATCAGGATAGACTTGCTTAGTACCATTCGAAACTATGGCTTGACCATTGTTGTCCTTGTACACGTGTCCGGAAATGTACGTTTGCCCAACGAGGCTGCCTTGAGCTGTCGTCGTTCCGTTGATAACTAACAGTGGGCCAGAACGCTTGACATCAATATTCTCCAGGACGACGGAACTGGAGCCATTGACAACCATACCACGAGTATCACACCAGCTGTCAATAAGACTGAGCGAACCTGTTGCTCCTTAAGCACCTATTTCGACACAAATACCCACGTTGATACAGTTGATTTGCTGCATTGTGATGACCAAACCGTGCGTAATCGCAATAGCTGTGGCGACGTTGGTGAACTTGAGATTCTTCGGGCTGTACTGTTGGTTCCTGAATTGCAATCCGATGAGGCCGCCAGAGAACGTAAGATCTCCTATGAAGAGGCCCGATCCACCGCCGCTAGTACCTCCGTCCATCTCGATACCGATGTGATTGCTCCCATTGGGCATGTTGAAATTGACATCGATCAAGTTGGTTGCTTGAGAGACTGCCCAGTTCAATGCATAGATCGTCTTGGCTGCATCCGCAGCAGTAATATCGATATTGAAGTTGCGCAGACCGATGTAGAAGTTGTTTGTACTTTGCGTATCTTTATCGTAACCATCAACCACCGCAGTATTGTTAAAAGCGCTGGAGGCAGCTTTCAGAGTCGGCACATTGATAGCATCTTCGATGATCTGAGTGCTGATGTAAAGCTGGATGGTGGGGTAGATGGCATATGTTCCCGGCGGCACGTAGATGAGGGCAGGTTTTCCAGTACTACCACCGTTACACTGACTTCCGGCACATCGACTACCATCTGAATACTGTGAGCAGTGAACACCCGCATCAAACAAGGGTGCGTACAATCAATTGCGGCGTTGAAAGCATCTGTGTCACCATGGACACCATTCCCCACCGCGCCAAAGTCCTTTACGTTACGGTAGACGTGGTAGTTAGGCGCATTGAGTAAGAAAGGACTCTTCCCGTTGTGCGGCACATTCGGAAGCCAGAACTCCGACTGCGCGCCTGGACTCGATACGCCGCATTGTTGGTGAGGTGGGTAGTGAGGAGGTTGGTATGGTTCTAAATGCCACGGGGCTATAGAATCATTCTTGTCACCAAACATACCATGCACAGGATTGGCCGGTGTCCAATTGAGGTGGTATGCGAATGGGTTCTGCCGAGTCGCATCTGGCGGTGCTGGTGTGTTGTACGCGGTTGATAAGTGATGGAGTCCCGAAAACCACGCTAAAACCCGTAAAGACTTCATCGTCGCAGTCAACACCTACTACAAATCAGGGATCGTGATAAACTTGCAAAGTCAAGAGCTACAATCAGCGGATGGAGCCGGAATCCAGCATACTTACAGCAGCGACACTCCGAACGTTGCGCCGAGATGAGATGGATGTGTACGACGCACAGAATCAAGGGGTATCAACGTTTATGCGATACACGCTACAGCGATGCCGCATTTGCCGACTTCACCCATGATCATTCTCTCCAGTCCGCAGCCGCTTGTTGTACCGTTTAACTGGGTCGTGCTCATTGTGGTTCGACAAAGGTGTGGGTGGCAGGGAGATCGAGGCGAGGACTCTGGAGTCGGATTGAACGGAGGCTCTGGACGAGCCGATGGACTTGGTGGTCTTGGATTGCCGCTTGGGAAACTCAGTGCAGAAAGACGGTAGTGCGTCTTTTAGTGAGTGCAGCCGGCTACCTAGCGCGTAATCGATGTGATTCCACAGCAGCTCCCGCGCTTCAAGAAGGTGCTTTTCATTACGCAAGGTGCAGTCGAAGATGCTCTTCATGTAGTATGTCGCATCACCGGCCGCGTCCAGCTCGCGCCAGTGCAGCCAGATGTTGAGCGCCTGGTAATCGCAGGTGAAAGAGACGTGTGCGCATTCGAGCGCTGTCGCAGGTCGGCCATAGGCGATACTGTAGAACTCGTCGAGGTAGCGGACGATCGCGGCGCCATCACGGGCGCTCTGGTAGTGGGCTACAATGTGCGATTCGCCGGTAGCGGGTTTCCACTGGGAACTAAGAAAAGGGAAGACAAGGACAGGGTTAAGTGTAAAGTCGGCGAGCGCAGCCTCTTCGTCGGGCGTAAAGGCGGTCTGCAGCGTGGACTCGTAGGCCTGTGAATTGGACAGATATCCAATGATGGTATCGGCCTGACGCTGCGACAATCGGGGGAGCGTCTTGCCCGGAGGTGACAGGTTGAAGTCAAGTTTGCTGGAGATCATAGGCACGGGATGGATTGCGCTCGGGTCGTCTTCGCCGGCAAAGAGCAACAACGGCTCGAGGCGACGAATGCCTGTGCTCTCATTTTCAAGCGAGGCGGCAAGGCGATGCTGCACGACGCGGCGGGCGTTGGGCGAGCGAGGTCCATCTCGCTTGCACAACAGTACTGTGTCGAGGTGACTCCTAAGTTCGGCCGGCAATTCGCGATGCGTATCGACCTCGACGCGATAAGATTGCAGCGTGACGCGCGTGTCCAAGGCGCTCCGCGTTGGCGACCCAGATCGCGCCGACATGGACGGCGGGGGCCCAGATGGGGGAATAGAGCTACCGGTGTCTAAGACGGGCTCCGGTGGGTGTGAGTGCTGTAAGGATGTGCTGAGGGTATGCTCTGTGAGGTTTTCGCGCGTCAGAGGCAGCTTACACCCCCGAGTATCGAGGTTGCCGTTGACAGGTAATGGCGACAAGCTGCGGGGCGGAGCGGAATGCGCGCGGCGCTTCGTTGGGCCAAAGACGTTAGATTCTGCATTGTAGTCACTGTCCTCAGTCGAAGCAGTGCTACTTCTAGAGTGCGCGCGCTTTGGCATGTTGGCCGTTTAGTGCTGCGTCGTTGTGTTGTGATGCTTTGAGCCGGACGCTACCGTTAGCGGCTTTACTGTAGACTAGTAGAGAGTTTAATATAACGTGAGCGGCAAGCGAAACGCCCGGGTAAGCGAAACGCCCACCCTCTGCCAAGACCACCTCTCTCTATACCTTTCATCTCATGGCTTATCAACCCGATCTTGAAGCGCTTTCTCCTAAAGACAGGATTATCTTAGCTATTCAAGCAATGAAATCAGACGCGAATCTAAATAATCAACGCGCTGCTGCAACCTATAGTGTTAGGAGAAGAACCCTTTGTAATTAACGCGCTAGAACTACTTTACAACGCAATACCCACGCTAACTTATCAAGGTTGCAGAGGCATAAAGAGGAGGCAGTTATACAGTATATAAGAAAGCTTAACGCACAAGGTTTTGCCTCTACACTTAGCTACGTACGTAAAATAGCTAACTAACTACTAGCTACCTATAGTAGTAGCTAGGTTAAAGGAAAATAGGCTAGAAACCTAGTTAAGTAGAAGCTAGAGGTTAAGTCTTAGGTAACTAGACAGCGCGATTATTAGAGAGTTCTATGTAGTAATCTAGCTATTATTAGTTTCTAGTTTAACCTTGTACGCAACGTTAAAGCTAAGTACAGCATTCTAGACAAAGACACCTATAACTTTAACAAGACTAGCTTTTAGATAGGCATTAGAAGATTATTTAAGGTAGTAACAGCGTCTAAGAGACGTCTTAAACTACTTAGGGTCTAGCCTAGTGTTACACGGGGTTAGGCTATACTTCTCTAGGCTCGGTCCGTACTAAGGCGAGGTAGACTAAAGCGGTAGTCCGTGAGGTTTGTCTGGCGATTCTGTGGAAAAGAGTTATCGTGGAATAACTGCAGGTAAAGACAATCCAATTCTATAAACGATAGAATAACTAGTTGACAATCTGTGTAAGAGATGAACTATTTGAGTTGACCACAATGAGTGTAATAATGAAATCCAACACATTCTTATACCCATTGCCTTAGGTCCTGTCCTCCCTGGCCTCCCATCCCAGAGGGAGGTTTGGGAGGACCGTGGCTTCCCTAGCCCCACTGGCCTCCCGGAGGCCTGGTCTTGGCGGGATGCCAATCCTGATCACGTGACCCCGAGCCCCGCGATCATCGTTGCGTTCTGACTTGGTCGTGGTTGGCCTTCAACCCCTTCACCCCATGTTAAGGAGAGAATCCTTTGTGTTACCTGTAACACCTAGTAATAGAGAGTAGGTAACTTTAATTGCCGCTATTAACGCAAAGGGCTAGGTTATCCCACCCTTCTTTATCTTTAAAGCAAAGCACTACAACTAGGCCTAGTACTACAACTCTAAGGACTAGAGAATAGGCGTTAGTAATAGCGGCTGAACAACAAACAAGCTTAGTCTTACCTAGTTGCAGCACTTTATCTAGCATACAGAGGTAAGAATAGTAGGTAGCTACTAGCTATTAATTCTTAATAGCTACAAGAGCTACTAGTTACTTGCTTTCTAGAATCTCTGCGAGGAAAGCAAGATTATCACCCTCTATATACCCTTATACTTGTCGCATATCCTATAGCTACTTAACGTAAGTTGTTTTACGCCCTTAAAGTAGGCGTATAAGAAGGAAATTAATATCTTAGCAGACAGCTACATTAACTATATTAATAAAAAAGCCTTTCTAGCTACCTTTGCATAGGTATTTAAAAAGACATTTTTTGTCACAAGACGCTACGAGCACGTGTTTAAGAGCTTACAAGAAGCGTTAATTGTAGCTACGTATAATATCTAGTGTAATACAAGACGTTGCGTAAGGAACAGAACAGAATGCAAAGCGGTGAAAGATATAGCTAGGGCCGTGCGCGGCGCTCAGGCCTTAGCTGGCCAATTAACAGATTTCGGGTGGACTGGCGAGCCACCCGAAATCTGTGCGTTCAGGTGTTAGGGGAACCACGGTGGTTACCGTAACAGTACCCCCCTCTTACTCTTGAGCTCCTGTGAGTAGAGATCATGTCTCTTACTCTTGCATTACTTCGGGTGGCTCCAAGATGTCAGAAAACCTCTTATGGAAACCAGCTACGGCTGCGTTATCCTTCAGGTCTGCAGCGGGTTCCCAGGTCATCTCGTCATAGCCTGTCCATTTAACGTAGTATTCATGTCGTCTACGACGCTTATTGTAACGGAGGTCTTCGATACTTTCTACAAAGTATTCTTCTTCGTTGTCTACAACAACAGGTTCGGGCGGTAGGACAAGTTGTCCTGGCAGGTACTCCTGTTTTGGCGCAGCAGGCCGGAGTAAGGACACATGAAATACTGGGTGTATCTTCATGGAATCGGGCAGTTCGAGACGGTACGCGTGGGAAGAGATCTTTTTAGCTACTCGGTACGGGCCTAGATTCTTCCAATCAAGCTTCTTAGATGCCCGTTGCGTTCGGATGTTACGCGCGTCTAACCATACCTCGTCGCCAATTTCGTATGTTGGCGCAGGTAGGCGTTTGCGGTTCGCGTACTCTTGCTGTAGGGCTTGAGCCCATGTCATTTCTTCACGGATGAACTCAGTAATGTCGCGCATCTTATCCACCATCGCGTTCACCTCACGAGCTTGGAGAGCTTGGTAGGCGGGACGTGTCTTGTTGGTAGGCGGCTCGAAGCCCATTCGGGGATTCTGACCGTAGCAGGCCATCATCGGGGTTACTCCAGTAGACTCAGAGACGGTATTATTGGCTTCGAACTGAGCGGTGGGGAGCCATTGAACCCAATCGTCTTGTTGATAGTTCGTATACGCGCGTAGGACTTGTTCCATCGCAGCGTTAGCGTTCTCTGTTTGTCCATCTGTCTCAGGATGGTAGCCGGTTGAGAAGCGCGGGTCTATCCTTAGTTGAGCACACAGCTCATCATGGAAAGCAGATACGAACTGTCTGCCACGGTCCGAGACTATCGTATCAGGGAGGCCATGATTACACCAGACGTAGCGCAGGAACATACGTGCTACGTCGGAAGCCTCCATCTTATCGCAGGGGATCATGTATCGGTACTTAGACAGGCGGTCTACTACGACCATGATGTTCTTGCATCCTTCGGATTCTGGCAGGTCAACGACGAAGTCGACAGAGACGTCTGCCCAACGTCGTTCGGGTACGGGTAGCGGCTTCAGCAGGCCGTGGTACTTCTCACGAGAAGCCTTCGAACGTCGGCAGACGTGGCAGCAAGAAACATAACGGCGAACGGTCTCAAACAGTCGGGGCCAGTAGTATTCCCGCTGGATTAGTTCAAGTGTTTTCCCTCGGCCAGGGTGGCCTCCTGATGGGGAATCGTGGACTGTTCGCAGGATCTTGATCTTAAGTTCGTCGCTGTCAGGTATCACTAACTTGTTGCGATAGTAGAGGCGACCCTCACGGTCTTCGCAGTCACCAAGTGTAACTGTCTTAGACCGTCGTGCGCCGTCGCGCAGCAGCTTCAGCGTTTCTCGAATAAACAGGTCTTCAGGTAGCCCATCGCCTGTAGGACGGTACTCATCGTCGATGATCTGCTGGATAGATCTATCTGTCTCTACCAGTCTAATTGCTACGGGTTCTCGAAACAGGTCAGGACGCAGTAGGGTCTGTTTCCGAGCTTGTCTCGCTTCCTCCTGAGCAAGCTGGTCCTGAGAGCGACGGGTAAGAGCGTCAGGCTTCTCACCGTGCTTGCCGGGTCGGTATGTAATCGTAAACTGGAATCGTGATAGGTATTCAGACCAGCGGGCTTGACGGTGGCTCAGTTGCTTCGTAGTGGCGAAGTACTGCAGGTTCTTATGGTCGCTGAGCACGTCGATTGGGAAGGCAGCGCCTTCTAATTCTGGTCTCCACTGTTCGAAACAGCGAACAATAGCAAGTAGCTCCTTGTCGTAGATCTCGTAGTTGTTCTCAGCGGGGTTCATTCTTTTCGAGTAGTACGCGACCGGACGGAGGACGCCGTCAGGTCCAGATTGGGACAGCACTCCTGCTGTAACATAGTCGGAAGCGTCGGCTTCAATAACAATTGGCAGGTCTGGGTCGAAGTGTCGTAATATTGGTGCAGTAGTGAAGGCATGCTTCAAAGCATCAAAAGCCTTCTGGCAGTCGTCATTGAAGAGGAACTTAGTATCCTTCTTAGTCAGCGCTACTAGCGGAGCAGCTAGGTAGGAGAAACCGTCTATAAACCGTCGGTAGAAGTTTGCGAAGCCTAGAAATGCTCTGATGTCCTTAACGTTGTTTGGGTACTCCCAATTTACAATAGCTTGCACCTTCTTCGGATCCATTTGTATTCCGTCTACTCCAACTACGTAGCCAAGGTAAGTCACCTCAGTCTGGTGAAACTCGCATTTGTCTACGTCTAGTTGGAGTCCGGCTTCTCGAAGGGCGTTTAGAACAGATCGTACATGCTCCTTATGTTCATGGAGATTCTCACTGTAAATCAGGATATCGTCGAGGTAGGCCGTGCAGAAGACGTCTAGGAACGGGCGTAGTACATCGTTCACGAAGTGTTGGAACGTGCTCGGCGCATTAGCTAGTCCAAAGGGCATCACTAGGTATTCGAACAACCCATATCGAGTGCGGAAGGCTGTTAGCCATTCGTCTCCTTCAGCAATTCTCAATCGGTTGAAGGCAGCAATAATATCGAGCTTCGTGTAATACTTGGCCTTGCTCAGTCGGCTCAAGGTCTCTTGGATCAACGGGATTGGGTAACGGTTCTTAACAGTGGCGGCGTTTAAGGCACGGTAATCGACGCAGAAGCGTAGTCCGCCGCCGGGTTTCTTAACAAAGATAACAGGGGAGGCGACTGGGGAGGAGCTTGCGCGAATGAATCCCTTCGACAGGTGGTCTTCGAGGTACTTGCGCAACACTTTGAGTTCGTTCTGAGACATGCCATACAGTGGGCCGAACCCGTGCTGTTTGCCGGGTATTAGTTTGATCTTGTGGTCGTAAGGCCGTCGTACAGGCAGCTTATCAGACTCTTCTCGTGAAAAGACGTCTATCAGGTCATGATAC